CGGACTGACCCTGGCCTTGAGTGAGGTCTGTCTGTTACTGTGCCCAGGTGGCGCTGTGTGCAAATCGAGTCGACAAAAGGGAGGGCTTTAAATATGTCTTGTCCGCAGGAACAATGGCTCTCGATCCTGTGGCTGAGCTGATGCTGGGGGGCCCTATGGTAAGTGCCTTTGCTGGTGCTTAAGTTGAAGGGGAAACCTGTTGCTAAACAAGACTGGAAAATGGCACTGGGTTAAAATTCCGTCCTTTTATTAGATGCAGAGGAGAATTCGAAGACGTGGGTGGATACTTGTTATGAAATGACGTGGTGAAAACCTGAGGGTCAATCTCCCTAGGTACGTGTTTAGTAATTATATATAGCATATGCTTTTTCCCACCTAACAGTACCTGAAGAAAATTCCTTTTTGTCCTTAAACAGAATCCTGGAGCTTGATGAATATTAATGAAGGTCTGGCTGTCATTGGCTGGCGGATTCATTTTCAAGTAAGTAAGTTTGTATAGTTTCACCTCCTAGTGTTGCTTAAGTTTAGCATACATGTCAAGGTGGCATAGTTTAAGAGGATAATGGTCTGATCAATGATGAAACCTATCCCGAAGCTGATGACCTGAAGAAAAACATGTACGGATTCGGCTTCTGAGATAAGACCACTACATAAGAAAACAAGCTTCTGTTAATTTGTTCTTGTCACAGGTTGATTATGTTATAGATCTTACTGGTGGAGGTTATCACTAGTGTGGATTTACTTTTACTCCCAACAGGGAAGAATTTGCCACCTACCCATTAAAGGAGATCACTGCTATGAAGTCGCTGTCGCCATTTCTGTGAGTGAAGATATTTTTAACATTTAACAGTATCTTGTTCTTAGTCTTATCTATGATGATCCTATCCCGAACCTGAATTTCTGTTGAGAAAACTTTTACGGATCTGGCTTCTGAGATAAGACCATTAAAGGACAAGAATATTTTCAGAAATTGTACTATGTAAGACCTTTCAATATTGATAGTATAGTAAATCTCAACTGTTTTTCTTTTCTAGGGCTAGTACCACAAGATACTTGTCTTGTATGAAAAACTGGTGATCAGGAAAAGCTCTACATTTTACAGACTTGGAATGAAATTGACGACTTATTGGTTAACTGTTAAGATTATGGACTAGGATCAAATCCAGATTAACATTAGGTTCTAGCCTCCTATACTATATTGTCACAGTGCCTTGCTGTCAAGTAATAGGTTGCTTCCTGAATCTGCTTATATGTCAAGTGCAAAAATATCTTTTCCATCTAGGAGACTTATGAACATTATTGCATAAATTTCTTCCCCTTTTGTCAGCTTTTTGTAAAAAATGCATAATGGGAATTAAACCTGAATAGAAAATTAAATGCATGCAATTGTGAAATTGAAAGTATGGGTGGGACAAACAAGGGTTGGGGGTGTGACCTATAAAATAAAACTGGGTTAATTAAAAATACTGCACAAATTGAACTTAATGCAAACATTAAATAACGTCAGAAGCTTGGGTTCCGCGTGTCATGGATTTTCCAAAGTATTAAGGCACTACAACACTCTTAGAAAGGCTTATGAACACATGAAAACAATTAGTGTGATCATAGATACAGCATTTAGTGTTATGGTTTATTATGCACATTATAGTTACAGTGAACTCTACAGAACAGTAACCATAAAAGCTTTAGCAAATACTTTAATAAAGCTTTGCATAGATCAATGGAAATCTAAGGACAGTTAGGCTGAAACATTAGAGGAAACCAGCCATAGGGATAGGTGATTTCAAATTCAAAGCTTAGTATGGCAGACCAAAGGCAGAAATCAAAAATTGTCATTTCAGTGAGATTTGTAGGTGCCCTGCTACAAAAATATATAGGGTAGGGTGTGGAACCTTCAAGGAAATTTTGATGAAAAAGCTTTCATGACTAAAGGTATATAGAGCAGTGATAGATATAATCTTGGCTACTATGTTTACATGTCTATAAAGAATCAGTTTAGTGACTGAAACTAGTGAACTTGCATGCTGGGGCAGGTGAATTTCCCCCATGAAATGTTGGCAATGCAGTCTTAATCCTCAATCCATGACCCCCATCACTTTTCATATTAATTTGGAGCTTTCCAATATACTGGCTTCGGTCACTAAGAACCTGGGTTCCTTTACTACTGGTACTTGTGCATTGTTTAATGATTGGTAAAAGACTAGTCTTGCATAAAATTTGGGAGGAACTTTTTACCCTTTTCTCAAAGATGGCAAACTACAAAACAAGGCAGGATTGTGAAATAGGCAGTTTATTTTGGAGTCCTCTGACCTGCATTTCCTAATTTGGGTTTTTTTTTTTTGTTTTTTTTTTTGTTTTTTGTTAGCTGAAATTGAGCAAATTTTAAGTCCATATCAGCTCAGATATGAAAATGAATTTAGCTGAAATGTTGATCAAAGGATGTCTCAGAACACAACTGAGACAAGTTGAACTTGATATTATCAATTGGATAGATGTAAGTGGGACAAGCAGGGAAAGGGGAGACTTGAATGACTCAGTAAGGTTAGGAACTAAGGGAGTTAGGGCTGTAAAAATGTATTGGGATTATTTGAAACCTCTTAATACATTTTTCTTTTGGGAGGCACATAATGAAAAAGTCAGTTCTGATAACTGCAGGGACCACACCTAAGTAAATTAACATTCTGAAACTAGTGATTTTTGTGGAATTAAACCTAAAAGGTCAGGATTTAACATGTTTGCAGTATGATTACTAGCTGATTTCAAACCTTGTAGTTCATAGTAGGATAACATTTTTAATTCCCAGAGCAGATATCTTGCAGTTAGATTCCACTAACCTGATCAAGGCTACCTATAAGGACTGGGAACATTAAATTGTTTGGCAGATGAAGGGATTTAACTTCCAGAACCTGACTGGACTCAATGGAGACAGAAAGCCTTAGACCTAAAAATGTGACTATAATAGACGTTTCAGATTTGAAAGGCAATATATGATTTTGGGTTTAGTGAGTAACCAATAGAGCTTTTCTCTGTGCCATACACCATGCTTCTAGGCTATGTTAAAATACAGTAGTTTCAAACCTATAGTTTGATGCACTGTGATTTAGATGCATCCCCAGAAATCCAGTCAGCTGAATTGATTGTGCACTTGGTAATTGTTGCTGTTTGCCCAGTCTTTGGAACAGCTTTTAGTGCTCAAGGTTTTTATGTCAGTTCCCCAGTTGGAGCCTTTATTTGAGTTCCAGCCCACTATGACAGTTTTTTATATCTTTTATTAGTACCTTCTCCCTGGTGATGAGACCATCCTTCCCATCTTTCCTTCTAAAACCTTGGTTCCCAATCTAAATAGGGAGTTTTTTTTTTTAATATTTATCATGCATACAAAACCAGGGTACAGTTCAGGGGCACAGGGGCAGTGAGAGGGTTGCCCAGAGATGGAGAATAGAACAGGCAAATTTGAGGGAAGCAGCAGGTGAGACACAAGTTTGCTGTGCCATTTGGGTCACCTCCCTAGTTGGGGCTTAAACTCATGCTGTATTCTTACAAGCCCTAGCCTTCTCTCTCTATACTGGTCCACTACTGGTGTTCTGGCGTGTCTTGAGAACAGCTGCAAGGAATGGGCTTGGGGAGACAAATAGTGTGATTTTAAGTATGGTTAACAGGATAGGTTTCCATGAGAAAGTAAAGCAAGGATTTATAGCGTTTGCGAGATTGAATTGTTCCCACACCTGAGAAAGGGGCATTCCCATGCCAGCAGCCCAAAAACTAGAGCAGGTGTGATAACAGAATGAGCAAGGAATGCAGGTTATGTAGCAACCTGTGGATCATTTGAAAAGATTCTGTGCTGAGCAAAATGGGAGTGACTATAAAAGACAACACAGGTTTTGATGAGTGCAACATCAAAACCTGTGGCCCAGATTATGGTCTCTACCATTCACCTGTTGAAAGGAAACAGGACTCAACCACTATGGAAAGCTGTTTGGGGATTTCTCAGAAGGCTAAAAATAGAGCTTCCATGTGACCCAGCAATCCCACTCCTAGGTATATGCCCAGTGGACACAAAACATCTATTCAAAAGGACACCTGTGGGCCCTCCCTGGTGGCACAAGTTAGGACGCAGCACTGCAAGCTGACCACAGCAGCTTCTGTGCAAGTTGGATCCCTGCCCTGGAGGTGACCCACATGGTGGAAAGCCTCTCCTGACCCACCCACTGCTCCCCTCAGCAGTGTATTTCATTAGGTCCACCTGTTTTGCTCCCCACTCTGGCGAATCCTCTCACCACCCCTGCACCTCTGGTCTGTACCCCAGTTCTCTATGAATAAATCCATCTAAAAAAAAAACACACCTGCACTCCATGTTTATTACTGCTATATTTACAATAGGGAAAGTGGATTCAACCCAAATGCCAAAAAATGACTATTAAAAAGATGTGCATATACACCATGGAATATTACTCAGCAATCAAAAAAGATAAACTCATGCCTTGTGAAATAAGCTAGAAAGAAAAAGAAAAACACCGATTTTCACTCAGGAGCATAAGGGATTTGGGGGGGAAGGGGCCTGGGAGAAACAAATGTGATAAAGAGTAAAATTGAAAACAATGAACAACTATAAACCAGAGACATTTTATGGGGGTGGGGAAGAGTGCACTAGACTATGGTGATGCACATGGGTGAACTGGTGTTGGGAAGTTATACTCCATGAGGAGTATAACTGAGATGAAAAATGTACAAAATAAAAAACGATGTTAAAAAAGTTTTTCTATTGGAAAAAAAGAAACAGGACTCATTGGAGGACAAGATGAGCTTAATGCATCTTGCTATAGCAGAGAAAACATATCAATGACTGCTAGTGTTCTGTTAAAAGAACTTAGAGCTTCTCCCACTGCCCATAGATGGTAAATGTGACTTATTAGGAATAATAACAAAAGCTGGAAGTATATAATTATGTTAAAATCCACAAATTATTAATGATCTTGAAAACAATAAATGATTTTGATGTTAGAAAATGCTTATGAACAAACTTCCAGTACCAACTGTTGTAATGAGTAATCGTAAGTACAAGGTGAGAAAGTTTCTCTTTGTTAGTGTACCCCACTTAACTGGAAGAAACTGATAATTAGAATGTCACCATTTGCAATATCTAATAAAATGATGTGTCTTAAGAGTGATCGACTATCTCCTTATCTACTAACATCAAAAAAAGTAATGGAAATAATCATTAGGTACCCCTGAAGGAAGAATTCAACACACCACACCTCGTGAAATTCTCTTGCCCCACCACCAACAACAAAATATGATTTTGAGGAAGTGTCTAGATCTAACTTCAAGTACACAAGAAATGCAATCAGTAAAAAACAGACTATGGAAATATCTACAGCACAGATATTTATTTATTCTTCAGTAAATAAATTGCAAGGCCCAGGGAAATGAATAGATGCCTTAAACTGAGAGACTGAAGTTATATTTGCTAGGTTGTATCTCATTTGTATTCTGATTTAATGTAGTAAGAGTCATGACATTTATGAGATGGTTAAATGTTTGAATACTGACTGAATATTTGAAGATTAGCCATGAATTTTGATAAATGTCAAATGGATGTATAATAATTTGTTACACTTTATTTTTGTACACATTTGAAATTTCAAATAAAAGGTGTTTCAAAACCTGTGAATACCTTCTTTAAAACTTTGATTTCAGACCCTCCGTGGTAGCCCAAAGGGTTGAAGTGCAACAGTAAGAAGCTGTCTGCAGCCACCAAAGCCAAGTTTGATCCCCAGCCAGGGAGGTGACCACATGGCGTGGCAGACGTCCCCTGCCCCACCCATGGCTCCCCTAGGCAGTGTATTTCTGCTGATCTGCCTGTTCTCCCCACTCTCTCCGGTGAATCCTTTCACTCCCCACACCTATGGCCTGTACCCCAGTTCTTGTATGTATGAAATAAGCCTTTTTTTTAAGTTTTGATTTCATTCCTAGCCACAGACATGTTTTTTCCTTCATCATTTGACAATTATTTTATAGCAATACAGTTTCCAGCGCATGTATTCGTTTTCACAAATCATAGTACTCTTGTTCTTTTTTTTTCCTTTTTAAGATTAAATCCAGAGTATACAGCTTAGAGTTGGCCTGACAGTATACATTGCAACAAATAATGCACATTAGATGCTTAGCTCATTGCTTGTGTACTAGCTATAATTGGTAATAAGGTTGGGTATTTATGCACCTATCAATAAGCACAATATTGCAAGTAACTGCATTTGTATAAACTAAGTCCATCAGATATGAAACTTAAAAAATCAGGAATCTGGGGCCTCCCTGGTGGCATAGGGGTTGAGGCTCAGTGCTATCATGCTGTCACTGCTATGACCTGAGTTTGAGCTGACCCATATATTCCCAGGTCTGTGCTCCTTAGCAATGGATTTCAATATATCCACTATTCTCCCCACGATGTCTCCAGTGAATCCTCAACTCTGTACCTCTGGTCTATAGCCCAGTTCTATGCACAAATAAATCTTTTAAAAATCAGGAATCTGGGCTCTGTGATGGCGCAACAGATTGAAGCACCACATTATGAAGCTCCCTGAAGCCACTGCAGCCACTGCAGCACGAGTTCGATCCCCAGCCAGGGAGGTGACCCACATAGCATGGCAGACCTCTTCTGACCCTCCAGCTGCCCCCTCAGCAATATACTTTGTCAGTCTGCCTGTTCTGTCTCTGGTTATTCCTCTCACCCACCACACCTCTGGGCTGTACTCCAGTTCTGTAAGCATAAATAAATAAATCTTTAAAAAAAAAATCAGGACTCTAGAAATAGCCAAGTAAAATTCCTCAGCAATTTCTCATGATTGAAAAACATACCACTACAGGGCGTCCCTGGTGGCGCAAGGCTGATATACAGTATTGAGTGCATATTAATCAACCTCATGTTTTGGCATGAATAATTACTGAAATCTCATTTTAACTGCCATGTCCATGAGAAGTAAATTCATAATTACTACATGTTTAGATTTACCATCAAACAGACATTAGGACTTACTATTAGAAGTGTGTTAAGTAAATGGGAGGGCTCTCCCTGGTGGTACATCATGTCAAAGTGCAGCACTAAGAAGCTATTCACAGACACTGCAGCAGCAGTTCCAACCCCAGCCAGGGAGGTGACCCACATGGAGTCGCAGACCTGTACCCCCAGTTCTTGTATGCATAAATAAAATCTTAATAAATTAATGGGGGAAATTATCTTCTGAAAACCAACCCTCTCTCCCACCTTACGTAGAACAATTTAACCAGCAAGATAACGTGTAACACCAAGACAGTTTGCCATACATCTAGAATTCAGATTTTTTTTCTGTTATTCTGCTCTATTCCATTACCTATATTCTTCTAAATATAATATGGAAATTGAAAGAACAATTCAGTAGAAACCTGAAGCCATGACCATGTTGCATAGTTGTATGCTCACATGGTGAAAGGGGCAAGAGCCTTCTGAGAGGAATTTTGCTATAAGAACGCTGTAAGAAGCAAGCGCAGTTTCTTCACATGTCTCTCTGCTCCGTGTGCCTCCCTCCAGTCTCTTTCTGGCTGTCTATCCTGCTTCCATCCTTTTCAGGCTCCTCTCCAGATTCTTCTCCTCCCTGCTCAACTACACCCTCCTTCTGGGTGGGGCAGGGAACCTGGAACCTCCCTTTTGCCTGGGGACCAGGAAGCAGCTCCATCTTCATGACCTAAGTCTCTCCAAAGGCTCAACTTCCAGACACTATCACTTTGATATTAAGATACAAATATATGGCCCACCCTGGTAGCGCAGTGGGTTAAAGCACAGCACTAAGCTAAAGCCACTTCAGTATGAGATCAATCCCCACCCTGGAGTTGACCCACATGGTGTGAAGCACCTCTCCTGATCAGCCCGCTGCTCCCCTCATCAGTGTACTTCCTCAGTCAGCCTGTTCTGCTCCCCACTTTGTCTCTGGTAAATCCTCTTACCATCCCTGCACTCTGGCCTGTACCCTAGTTCCGTATGCATAAATAAATAAATCTTCAAAACATTATTTAAAAAAAGATACTGATATATGAATCCTGAAAGGGGGAATGGGACACAAAAATTCAAAGCATAGAACACACATTACTGTAGTACAATTTATTTAAATATTTTGATAACTACACTTCAGGGAATTTCATGTGTAATACTAAATATTTAATTTTGTGAATTTAAAAATATTTGAGTAGGCTCCAAAAACTTCACCAGAGTGGCAGAGTAGCCCACAGCACAAAGAGTTAAAAAGTTTTGTGTTCTGGGCCCTCCCTGGTGGCACTGCAGGTTAAAGCACAGCACTAAGAAGCTAAAGACACTTCAGCATGAGTTCGATCCTTGCCCACCCGGAGGTGACCCATGTGGCACA